AAAAAGGAAAATCATTATCATTAAGATCTTGAAAACATAATCTATTCCAATAGCAATAGTTCTGTGGTTACTTGAGTTCAAATCGACATGCTTTTCCCTGTATATAGACTTTATATTCTCCCAATATGGTATTCCATGTAGAATATAGAATCTCAGTGATACACAAAAGTTAGTCACTGTTATTTACAATCCAAGGTTAAACCCTGACAAACTTTCAGTTTGATTGTAAGAATAAATTGACCAGCTGGACTTTCCTGCCAGCTGTGAGAGTTAAGAAATGGGTTGCACAAACCTAGAAACATTTGCTGTTCTGTCAGATGTTTGAATCAAAACAAATAGTGTATTGTCAAAATACATTAAAACCATATTAGAAAAGTCCAGAAGCTGGCAATTCAAGTTGATTAGAACTTTCCTGGCTGAATAGTCATGAGCATGCCCTTGGATTATTATTCATTTCAAGCTGGCATTTGACCAGGAATCTTATCTTGACTGAAGTGTTTCTGGCTTGCAATGGTTCTTCTGTTTACAGAGTTGATCCGCTTCATCAAACAACTTCAAAACAGCAGGTAATATCACTACTAGTAAGTTGATAAGCTAAATAAAATGGTCTTTTGCCCACTCTTCCGGTAACGTGGTGTTAATCAAAATGTCTCCTGGACTATACAGTTTTATGGAAAAGATCATATGATGAAAAGTTTTCAAGCAAACCTTGTACTAAATAGAAAAGTCAGTTATGAAAAAAGTGTGACCCACAAAGAGCTTTGCATTCAAATAGTTGACATAACAATTATAGAAGTGTCTATATTTTCAGGGTTGTTACTATCTTAAAAAAAATAGCCCAACCACGTAGCAAACGTGATTAGGGGCTTTCCCTGTAGAAAGCACAATATGAAATCAAAGTTGGTTAGTTTCTACTATATATATATATATATATATATGCGACTATGGGAAGACTTGGTTTTAAAATAATCACACAAAGCACATTAGTATACATTTCATAAAGTTTCATTCAGAACTACATAGAGCAGAAAATTATATATTTTCTCTCTTTTTTTCATATCAAAGCAACAAACCATAGTGATTCTCATCCAAAATGCCAACAGCCCATATTTTGCAAGAAATGAATGTTTACATTTTTAATAAAACAGAATCAGCACACAGTATTCCAATATTAGTCTGATCTTCATACAAAGCTAAATATAACTTATTTTTGAATGGATATTCAGAAACTCCAGTGAACTTTATTATAATGTCTTTTTTAAAAAAATATTTTTAAGAAGCCGTCGCAATACATTTAAATAAGGAAATGGCCTCATTATTGAGTATTGCATCAAGATGAAATGAAACAATTCATTAAAAGAGAGAGAGAGAGACAGAGAAAGAGAGCAAAAAACCTGATTATTTAAATTTCTTTTAAAACAAAGGAAGCCTTTCTGTTCAGAGCCCTCTATTTGGGATCACAATGCTACATCCAGTTTGTAATGTTTTGGCTTCTTTGTTATTTGCTAGCAGTATCTACATAACCCCATCCCACCTCCCACCTACCCCCCAAACCCTTCCAATCTGTCAGGCAAAAATCAGATCACAGAAAATTGTAAATGATCTCGGCAGGTAGTGCTGTCTTAAACCTACAAATCTTAAGGAAATTATCTACAGTTCTGTAAACAAATTACATTCTTTATTTTCAGGACATAAATAAGTTAAAATAGAATGATTTGAGCAGAAAAAAGGCAACATGCCAACAAAGAAATGTGTGCATGTGTGTGTGTGTGTGTGTGTGTGTGTATTTCACACACACACATATACATACATACTTGTGCACACACATGCACATATAGTATATATGAGTATATGTATATGTGTGTAAGCTTAGATAATGGAGATATATATATGTATATATATATATATATAGTTATAATATATTATTTATATATTTCTATATATATTTTCATAAATGTTCATTTTAGGTTCCTCTGGCCAACTGGTGCAAATCTACTGTGCAAGTTAAGCTTTGCAATTTCAAAAAAAAAAAAATTAAATTAATCTATACAACTGAGTCCATGCCACACAAGCATTTAAAAAACTCACAAAGTGGTGAATTGGATAAATAGCTTCAAATAAGTCTTCTCCTTTTCCTGTTCAAGGAATTAAAAAGGAGGTCGGGTTGAAGTGGGTAATACATTCATGCAGGATAGCTTTTGTATTGTTTTTGTTTGTTTCTGCAGGAGACAAAAGTGGGAATATGTCAATCAACCATTCATTCTTCCAAAAATCACTGTGAATAATGATGCATTCATTTATCTGTTTCTTCAAAGTGATCAGGAATTCAAACAGCTTCTCAGCCAGCATTGTTTATACTTATGTGTCTCTGTTATATATTATTATTATTATTATTATTTATATTGATATTTTTGCCGTGACTTTTTCAGCTAAAGTGATGTTTCCAGGCTATGGATTGGGCTTCCTGGACTAGAAGAGGTAGCTGATTTGCTTGTGTCAGTTGTAAGGTTGATCCCACTGTCAATAGCACTATTGTTCTTGTTCAGCGAAGATGGGGGACTCGGCTTTTGCTTGAGGACAGAGTCTTCTTCTAGTTCTGTGTCATCAATGAGAGGAATATGGGGCTGGGAATCTTCTATCCTAAATTCAGGATGGGTCATAAAGTTGTGAATGGAGGTTCTAGATTCCGGTTTTTCCAAACCTTCATAGAGAGAGCTACGGAATGCCTTCACGACGCGGATCTGGGAGAAGGAAAAAGATGAGAGATGTCAGTGGCAACTGCTTTTTGAAAGTACCACGGAGTGATGTCAATTCTTGGGGGAAGGGATATTGGGTGAAAAAATGTGATGTATGGTTAGGGCACACAGGCAGCTGTAGTTCAGTCTCTGGATTCTAAAGGCATAAACAAGAGGCTCAGCTTTGTACATTTTGAGCATCTGTATGAACTGCAATGTTAAGACCATATGAGTTTAAAGCCATCAGACCTGTTCCCAGAACTGATGGGAAGCGCTGGTTAAAGAAAGCGAAATCCACTCATGTGGTGCATTCCTAGTAAAAGACAAGCCATGTTAATTCCAAAGCAAATGTAGTACCATGCATCTTTATTGTTTTGCAGTGAGTAAGTAGGAAAGCCTTGGTGTGCTTTTACAGTATTCCTTTGTACAGAAAAGTATAAGACAAAATAAATTGCATATCTCAAACAAGAAAGCACAAAACACAAGACACAGTTGGATGGAAAAGTATGAGAGACAAACACAGGAGCCAAAGGTAAGAACCCCCCAAAATAATGACCATCTTTTTTCCAAATAAATAAAGCAAAAAAAAAATGAAGCAGCCAGGAGCACAGCAACAATGACAACAACAAAAAAGAAGCCAAGCACACAAAATATTGGGGCAAAAAACATGCTAGGAAAAAGTCTGTTATCACATAAACACAGCTAACTGGCACACAACAACTACACTTGAAAGCCTGGATAATGTGAACATGAAACTGTTGATCAACTTTTATTTATTTTTCATGCATATGTGAGGTAAACACTCGAGTATAAACCCAATGTTCTAGCCATTTTTTAAAAAAAAGCCTATATAATAATTTATTATATATTTTAATTATCAGGTTTCATATAATAGAATTATAAAACATCAGATTACTTCATCTGTAATTTATGTAACCCTTGTAAATATGACTCATAAAGGTAAGTTAGTAAAGGTATATTTTTATGTCAGTTCTGCAGCTCTCAAACTATGATCATTTAATTGTTTCAGTGTATTTTTCTTGCTTTTCTCATACTAAATTATAAGATGAGAAAAGTTAGCAGTAGGTTTTATTAAATAGAATTATGGCAATATGGCAGACCAATTTCTACATACATTTCTCATACATCTGAGATGAGGGGCAGAAAAATCCATCTGTTGCGGGGCAGAAAAATTCTCCTTGAAAGAAGAGAATGTTTTAAATGTCTCCTATTCTCCTGCTATCGAGGAGAAAAGTGGCATTTTTTGAAGGTAAAAAAAATCACCAAGGAAAAAGAACAGAATGGTAAAATATGTGCACTGTTGAGAAATGTATCATGATTATAAATGAATTCTGTGACTTCTGAGCATTTTGCTTGGCCCTTAATTATAGGGTAAATGAAACAATCTTGCTTATGCCCTTAACAGGGTCATTGCAGCCACTCTGCAGGCTGCAGCATTTAAGCTGGTGAGGAGACTACAACTATCTTAAAGATCAAAAATCCAGTTCTACCTTTTCTAGTGGCATCACAGTGTTTGGAAACTCCCTTGTGGTTGATTCCTCACTTCAAATGGTGCAAACCCCCTGCTTTAAAACGTGGCCCTCAATTAGAAAAAAAAAAAACCTTCTCTCAGAAAAACTGAGATCACTTCTAAATTTCTAAATTTAGTTCTGATTACATCTAGAACTTGAATAGCCAGGAAACTTTTGGACTTAACTACTGTTACAAAGCCAAAATGAAAAAAGGGAAAGCAAAGCAAACTGTTTTCCTCACATACAAAAGTTTCTAATTCCTCAAAGTTCTTTTTGTGAACTCTTCAAAGTTAATTGCTGCAGACACACAATAGGCTAAGCACATTTCCAGTTTCTTGTTGTCTTTCCATCTTGTATAAATGTACCAGCTGGTTAAAACATTTTTTCTCTTGGCCAACTACATCTGCAGTTGAAAGTGAAGGCAGTGCTGCACTTAATCTATGTATTGGGAAACTCGTCTCAGAAATGATCCCTAAGGTTCTTTCTTATTCAAGTATTTATGTAAGAGAAACATAATGGGCATTTAACTACTTCTTACTCTGGCCAAAGAACTCTGAAACAAAAAATGCCGATTATGACAGAAAGAAAAAAACATGCTGAGAAAGGAATTATCTTTGTCCACTTAACAGTTTTTATCCCAATGTTACATTTTTAATACAATTGTACTTAACATATTGGAAGACTTTAATTCTATTCTAATTTTAAAAAATCCTGGGTCTTTTGCCCAAATAATTTAAAAAAAAATCATTTGCCTGTAGATATAAAATTTCCTCACAAGCTCTTTGTATTTTTGGGATACTGTTAATGTGCTTTGAAATAATGGAAAATACTTGTAGTTTGGGTTTTAGATTTAGATTTAGTTTGGGTTTGGTCTCCAAGCTTGTTTCAATTTAGTTTCTGAATGTTTCGTTACCAGGCTAGGTAACATGATCAGCAGGATTTCCTTGTCCAAGAAAATCTTTAGCTTATAAAATCCTGATGATGTTACCTAGTCTGGTAATGAAACATTCAGAAACTAACTTGAAGCAAACTTGAAGAGCTAACCACTGCCAAATACTATTAATGTGCACTCAGAAATCTTTTGCTTGGAGGATTGTTTTAGTATATTTAGTACATACATAGGAAGCAAAGATTAAGAGGATATCCAAGGTAATCCAGTGAACGCCTTCTTGGTAAACCAAGTCTAAGTATAACCTGTCTGGTGGACCACATCAGTAGCCTATAAAATGATACAAACAAAACTTTATTTATCACTCTGCCTCCATTACTGTATCAGTGATCTGACCTTAGGAATCTGTCTAGAGATTACCATGGGTCTGGGTTGCATTTGGCCCATTTGAGCCCATAGGTGTTTCTTCTTTTTTAGGAAAATGTTTTGGATTATTTTCCCTCAAGATGCAGAGTAAAGAATAAAATTTTCTCTCTATAATGTTGGGAGAAGTAAAGCAAGGAAGATTCATATGTAGATGGAGGGAACCTTGGGGAGCTCTCTTTCACATATGGCCGGAAATGAATATTTTAAAAGACCCTCATGAAGTATTCCAGGCAACATTTCTACATCATCTGTACCTGGCAGAATAAGCTTTCCTGTTGGTGTTTAAATTGTATGCAATTGAATCCAATTTTTTTCTTTACTTCTTTTTTAGAAATAACGCGCCATGACCAAATTAGTTTGACTTTCACTGTAGAAGATACTAAGAGGCATCTATGCATCTAATATATTTTAAAGCAATCTGCATATACTGTTTTGCCATTGCCTTGTTTCCAAATTAGTTTGTGAATCTCTTAGAATGAGGCACACATTAGCAATTCTGCATATATGGAATTTAGGAAACTCATATATCTCCAGAGATTTTTGTATTTGCTGATCTTTAAATTAAATTAGGATCTATAGAATTGCATTTAACTTTTATACAAAAGAATAATTGAAGAGATTTTGTGAAGGTAAATGCAGGAGATTAGGTTATTTCATGGCATCTTTAAAATTTTGTAGGCCTGCTCTTTGTGCACATATATTGTATGGAAACACACCAGAAAATATATATATATATATATATAAAATAAAGATGGCAATTATGTAATGGAGACAGCTTAATGAAAAGAAATGATAAACAGCAAGAAACATGGCTCCATTTTCTTACAGGAATGGAGACAACAGAAAAACGTTTTTAACAAAGGACTGGGGTAAGGGTGGGGATCACACTTCAGGACATTCTGACATGGCTTTTAGTTTCCACTTCCTTCTTCTCTGCTGCTGCAAGGAAAAGTTTTTCAGATTTGCTGAAAGCAAGACTTCAAATAGTTCTATTCGGCAACAAAGGATAAACACTAACACATTTTTACCTCCATCTGAAGAAAAATAATCATTCTGGCCAAGTACAGAATGTCCCTCCTCACAATGCAGTATCAATAACCCATTTTCAGTTGTACTAGAGTGGTAGGATATGGGCTTATACTCGAATGTTTACCTGGCTTTATCTAAGCCAAGTACCAGAATTGGTTCACATTCATTATCAGGCTCAAGGTTAAAGACTCACAACCTCTTTTTATTGCACTCTCTCCTGCTGAACCCTTTTGTCCAGGGGTCTCTAGCCCTCTAGAAAAACAAACACATTGAATATTCAGAAAGCAGAGTGAAGGGTACTGCAAAAGTAAATATTTCATTTTTACTGAAAGCCCTGTTACAAGTAGAGCTGGTCAGGTAAATGTGAAGTCAGTTTTGAAAAGAGATGCTAACTCAAAGGGAGTAATTGCTTTACTTAGTTGAAGTTGCAATTATGCAAAGGCAAGACTGAAGTTTCAATTAATTATGATTCCCCCTCCTTTAGGAATACATTCAGCATATTAAAAATACTGAGGAGCGTTTTTACTTTGCTAGCAGCCCTAACACCTTGGGCATATACTAAATCAGCACCATCACAAAGATAGTTATTGGAATTTTTGTCGCATGGTAGAGCCGAAGATATTTTATTTTAGTGCCTGACAAGGGAACATTGTTATCTATTCCACATGCAGAAACAAAGTGGACTAGCTACAGACATTTTAACACCAGCAAAAAAAACCAACATCGTTTAAGGTATATATTGTTTAGACAACACAGGCTGTTTGAAACTTGCATTTGTCCTTCATGACAAAGGAATCCAGGTTGACACATGCCATTTTGTCTTTAGGAGGACATGGCAGGTCTGACACTGCTATGTGCTATATATCTGCCAAGAAAAGTAGATGCCAACTCAGTGGGGTGGTAGGGAAACTCCTGGATTGGGGTGGCACTTTCTTAAGTCAATCCACTAAAGACATAAGCAGTCTCCATGATGAAGATGAACTTGTTCTAAAAAATGGTTCTTCAATTTTCCCTAGTTTAAATATTTGATCATACTTTGCAATAAGAGAAAAAAATATGCCAAAGAGTAAGGTTGTGTATGCTTTGAAAAGAAGTGTCAAGGTTCCAGTTAATGAACCCAAGGAAATCAGAATTCTGAGACTAAAATCCTCCTCAAAGAACTTCTTAATTGAGCACATCATATTGAGCTCTAAAGGAGTTCTTTGAGGAAGATTCTAGTCTCAGAAGTCTGATTTGCTTGTGTTTGTTAGTCAGAACTTTCAGAGGTTTTATGTGAGCTTCTGGGGAAGTACAGCAGCCTTCTGCTACCAATTAAAGCAGCTGTATCCTTTCTCAGATTTGTGTGCAAGTCTGAAAAAAAGATGTCGCTTCTTTAAGAATCACATGAATGAGCCAACTCCATGAGCAGAAACCTGAAAAAGGTGACTATTTTACTTATTGGAAAAGACATACTATGCACACCGTCACAGAGTTGATGTATAAAACAGGGAACGTTCACATACTTATCCATGTTTTCCTTATATGTGCTAGAAAATAGGCATCTAATCATTAAAAAAAATCTATTTTGAACTCAGACTTTCTATTGGCGAGACTTTGAATCAAACACTTATTTAATTTTGCACATGAATCAGGATTTTATTCTTTTTAAACTGCATTCTAATTAGATACCAATCAGAGAAGCAGCATATTTGAATCCTATCAAAACCAAAATTCAGATTCATGTAATTTTTCAGCCTGTGAACTTACATATCAGAATAGGCCTTTGCATAATCAACAACTTTATTAAACACACTTCATTTTTTTTTTTAAAAAGGTACTATAATATAAACAATTCTCTATGAAGTGATACTTTTCAATACAATGTTGAAAATTAACACCACAAATATATTTGTTTTAAATGTTAGAATCGAGTGATAAATGAAATTAAATGAAAGATGCAAGATATGTAAGATATTTGAAGGATGCTCTGAACTGCCAGAGAGAGTTAGTCTCCAATGCCAATGCAGCAAGTGTATCAACACCACAGCATTAATGTGTGAAGACAGAACATGCAGTTTCTGTTTCTTTTTTCTTTAAAAAAAAATTAAAATGACCCCTGGAATATATTATCAGCTAGCTACATACAAATAATATTTCTATTTTCTTTAACAATGTATGTTGCAGCTTAGAATAATTTAGACTTTTTTTTTGTAATCCAGAGGATGAATTTCAACATTCACTCCAGCGGATTACTGTCTGTGTGACAGGATTTTTCCACTCTTTTACTGCCCTTTGAAGTCTCTTAATCCTCTGCAGACCAATGGAAGGTGAAAAACTTCCTTCAACACTTTCTTTTTAGGAAAAAATGGTCATTTGCAGCAGTGGTGGGATTCTATTTTTTTTTACTACCAGTTCTGTGGGTGTGGCTTGGTGGGCATGGCAGGGGAAGGATACTGTAAAATCTGCAGTCAGAGGTGGTATTTGCCGGTTGTTCAAACTACTCAAAATATCCACTACCGGTTCTCCAGAACTAGTTAGAACCTGCTGAATATCACGTCTGATTTGCAGGGAAGGTTCCCTGGATCCCAGCCAAGATATCTATGGAGTCGTGTTTAATATAAGCCAGTTGCAGTTTTCATTTACCAGTGTGTGTGAGTGATTTGTGTTCTGCTAATATCATGAAATAATAATTAAATTAATTGTTTTAAAAAGCTCCTTAAAATGTTTTACTATCATCATATAGAAAATTATGGATGCATTTTATTTGAGGCTATGATCGGTTTAAAATATTATAGAAGTTTAAAGTATATCTAAATTATTACTTAAAGTTTGGTCTTGTACCCGTGCATATCACAGAATAAGTCTCCTGAACTTTACAGGACTTATTGCTCAGTAAACATGCATAGGACTGCCCTGAAGTAGAAGTCTAATCCCTGGAATACCAAGTTACAATGGCACTTAAAAAAAAGTAACTTATGACTGGTTTCACTCTTACAATCTTTGCAGCATCCCTATGGTTACATGATCAAAATTTGGATATATTTTTTTTTTGAAACTGACATATATTTATGACTGTTGCAATGTCCCGGAGTCATGTGATCACTTTTTGTGAGTTTCTAACAAACGAAGTCAATGAGGAAGCCAACAAGATTCAATTGGACTCAATTGTGGTTGTAAGTTGAGTATTGAGATCTTCAAAACAAATCATCATGCATAATGGAGTAGATTTTTTAAAAATTAAGCCACTGAAGATGAAAAATGTTCTTTATTCCCTGCATGAGTACCGATTTGGTAAAATGGAGAGATGGCAAAAATCAAACTTTTTTCCTTTTTTTTGTTGCATACATTTTAGAGAAGTCTATCTTTTATGCAAGAATTTTGAAAAAAAGACGCTAAAAAAGACTTTAGAGTGTTACACAAGACCAAGACTTCTTGTATGTCAATTTCATCTCCAGATCATGTGACCAAGGGGAGCATGACCTAGCTGAAGGCTCTGTCAGGTGATACTTGCCACTAAGTCTAAGCGGACATAGCAAAACCAGCAAAGGAAAATTGAGTCCTTTGTGTGCATATTGCTTCCATTTTGCCCAAACTGTAGGAAGTACAGAAAAAAAATACTTTTCACTGGTGTAGAAGTTACGGGAAAGTTCTTTACATATTTATATGATAGTTAGCTATTTGTAAATGATTACGTTACCTAATTAGGCTGGGATACCACTACTAAGTTTCACCCAAAGTAGAATTAAATAACTTTTGTTAATAAAAAAAATTTTTTTTAATAGCTTAGAAGTTATATAGGTTCCTACTATTTTACTGATATAAAAAAAAATCAAACTCAGTGTAACAATTTGAAGATTCCTGAAAAAATGTAAAATAAATTTGTGCAGTAAAAGAAGAAATATGAACATGCGAAGAACAGACCTATTCATTATAGGAGAAAATTAGTATTTATTCCATGGAAAGTAGTTACAAATAAGACATAATCTATCAGTGGAAATGAAGACCTGTGGAAAGTACCTGTGTACCGGTGTGCAAAACTATACCACTCATGTTAAAATGGAAGAGATGAGAAAGGGCACAGTGGCTCAGTCGTGTGACTGCTAGACAAATGAGCATCTCTGTATGCAGATGCAGTAAGAATACACACTCACGCCCAACCGCCGCAGCAGGTGTGCTGGTAGGAGAGGAAAGAGCATTGGATAACGAAACGTGGCTAGGGCTAGAAATATTGGTTACATCCTGGTTCTGGCTTGTGACGGAGGATTGTCTCCTGAGAGCTCCCTGAAAGGAAGTGCCACTCTTGAAAGTATTGACTACTTCGATCTGTAATGGAGGAAAGAATGAGACAAGTTGCTTGAGGAATTGACATAACTTTGCGACTGACAGGAGCTGTATTTTCTAATAATATTCAGCTGCTTCCCCCCAAAATCATTTCAATCCTCAGAGTCAAAAATAATGAAAACGTATTTTAAGATTTAGAGCACAGAGTTTCTATTCAAAAGAGAATTGTGCAATATCACCACTGCTAGGGTTGATTTATAATAACAGATTTGTGGCTTAAAAAGAAATATGTGATGGGCACATTTTCCTGCTGTCCTTGGACTTTGCTGGCTCCGTCACAAAGTGCTATAAATTCAAGCCATTCAGGCACACTGCATCTGCAGACATTAATTACCTTTATATCTCTCAGGAGATCAATTTTATTCACTAGGAGGAAAAAATATTAAAACACTTCCAATTTCATATAATAAATGATATACTTTAGAGTCGCTCGGCAATATAATTCTATGAATGTCTATCCCCAAATAGGTTCTTTTTATTTTCAATCACAGCTTACTGTTTATAGGATTGCATATTACCATGTAAAATGGAACAATCTTTCAAACATGATTCTTTTGTGATATTGGATCTCAGGACCCAACAAAACGGGAAGGTACGAGACCAGGGAAGGATACAATAATACAACTGTTGATTTATTAATACCATAATCATTTTCTTCTGGTGAATAAATTAATTTCTATAAGATATACATTTGCAAACCTAACTTCCCATAGATTTTAACTACAAGAAAAATAAAATCTGGAATTATTTGGATTAAAAAATTATGAATGTGATTCCTACTTCCAATTTCTCAGATCAGATATACACATCTTGGTGTTTATAACAAAATAATATCTACCCTAGATAAATAAGATAATTCAAAAAAATAATTTGCCATTTGTAGTTTTCAGCTGTTGCAGCTGCTTCCATTAAACCCTAAGGTAGAATCAGCTACAATTTTTGAATTGTCTAAGAATCATCATGTGGATATCTTTCTCTTAAACATCATTTGTGCAATAAAAGGGATATTACTACTTTTCCTATAGTTATAGGATTATAATTACAAATTATTATTATTATTATTATTATTATTATTATTATTATTATTATTAT